GTCAAGGCTGTTTGGCATTTTAGCCCCTGCAAAGCATCGACAGAAACAGCTCCATTTTGTTGAGTCAAGCAACCACTCGCTTGAGCACCAACGGATATACCTCAGTCCATATGCGTATATGTACGACAGGTGCAAAAACACTAGTGAGCCGTTGCCTGCCTCCCCCCTTCCTCCAGGCTACTGTAAACAGCGGAACGCCATGTGAGTCTGAATGAGTAACGGGAGATTGTTATTCTTAGTGACGGTATTGAAAACTAGCGCTCTGCAAGTAAGCCTATAATACAGGGATGAAGGATGAGTCCTGTTCGCCTGTTTCTAATCATTTCCTTCAATTTCAGTTGGAGTCTTATGCTTGTTGAACATCATAAATGGCTTCGAACATGGCTGAGTCACTGCTTGTTCCACCCTGACCTCCCTGCCGATGAAATTTAACTCTTCCCACCATAGTTCACATGACAGGTAGCTGATCATCATTCGTGGACCGTAGCTGCAGTGTCGTTCGTGCATTCAATCTTTAGCATTCTGCGTCGGTGATGCCGCAGCACTGCGTGCGCTGTTGACCTTATGACTCGGTCTGAAGTTGAGTAATCGCAGCTTTGGTGTAGACCCCAAAGCGTCATCTGAACCGCGCTTCCGAATGATATTTAGTACTTCCTTTGTAAGTAAAGTTGTTTCAGACAGAACAATGTTACACATGGTTTCCACTTTGAAACGGCAGCAGAGAGAAAAACGATAAAAAAACTGTTTACTATGCACTTAAGTGCTACTTCTAGTACTTCTATTATGTGTATACAAGGTGTAGGAGTTTTCGCCTTCTTTTTCTGAATGTTGTATGTTATTTAAACTGCAGAATGTTCTACATAGGATATCCTATGTTTCAACTTCTACAATAGTCGATTTTCTACCTGCTTCTGGCTAACGGGAGTGAAATCGTTTCTGAGGTGAGTGGTCTATTTCAGACACGTGTGAGAAGCGCTGATCTTCAAGTGAGGAATCGATGAATTTCGTGAATTTTAATTTTTCATGAACATTTGCTAAAATAGATAAAACGGCAAGATTTAACATATTGCATATAACAATCACGCACTGGTTCAATGGCTGCGAAAATGATTTCATCAGGAATTGTCTTTCTCCCATGAGTGAAAGTACTGATCTAAGTGAACAGATTTCGATTAGAAGCGGTTATTTCCACTAGAGTTGATTTCATGCATCGTCATCGAGCTAATGAGAGGTGCTGCAGAAACACCGGTATAGATCGCAAGCCGACTTGAGGTTTATAGTTATACTCGTCGTCGTCATTATCGTCCTCGCCATCGGTGTCGTTGTCACCATTATCATTTTTAATTATCACTGCTATCACTATCTAATAATCTGGTAATCTTTTGTCACTGGTTAGCGGCTTCACGGGTTAGCATTCTGTACCACACACTGCACACACTTTGTTTCATTGCAGTGTTATTCTGGTTTTCCCGGCGAAATATAGTATGCTAGTACTACTGTCCTCAGATTCGCCACTCTTTTTCATAACGCGATGCTATACGTTCAGCACAAAGTGCCGAAGGGCTTTAGAATGCTGTAAGACTCAATCTCTATTTTTCACGTCGGATCTAGGGCAGTCCTCAACAGCAGCCATTCAGAAGGTGTAAATGAATGCACGTGACACTTTTTTTTTGCGCTCAACTTTTCACATTCAAACTTCTTAACCGACTTAGTTGGAGGTTTGAAATGCAGCTTCTTCGAGGAGTTACTGAAGCCTCGATTCTTGTGACTTTGTTTTACTTCAGTGATCTGTGCCCCGGAAGCATTTGCTGTTTCTAAAAGTCAATGAACCTCTATTTTAAAGCGGCCATTCTCGGTCAGACTGTACCAACGCAACTGAAAAGGGACAACTTTCCGAAACTCAAGACTATCCATGGGAATTTGATTCAGATCTGACTTCTG